TATTTTTTGCTTGAACATCCAGATAGTAATTGTTGAATATTACCAGTTTATATTGCGATAAATGAGGCACAATATTGTTGAAGTAGCTTTCAGCACCCCCCTCGCCAGGCGGCAAAATGAACAAAACATTATCGCAACTTTCATTGATCACAACGAACGGATGTTCGAAAAAACTCGAATAGGTAGCAACCTGATGTGAAATTTGAACTTGTTCATCGAGAGAGATACCCTCCTGAGCAAAAGAAGTAATGTCTACAAGAGAAACCAGTGAGTTTATATATCTGATGGATGTTTCTTAATTTAAAGATGTTTTACCTTGATTGATATGTAGTATCTGACATCGTGTTGCCTGCGTATCATTAGATGGAAGTGTTTGAAGTAGTTGTGCATGTTGTCGAATAGTTGGTTGCTGAAGAAAGAGACCAATCGAGAGTGAATGAGCATCGAAACTGAATAATGACTGATAACGATAATAGAGTTCGATAAAGCGAAGTGAATGACCACCAGCACTAAAAAAACTGGTAGTTGTAGAAATTTGATTTTGATTAGAATGAAGAACTTGACACCAAATAGTATGTATACGTTCTTCGAACTGATTAAGAGGAGTATTAGATTTATTGGACGATAACAAAGTTGATGTAGAAAAGTCGGGTGAAGGAAGTTGTTTTCTGTCTACTTTTCCATTTTGATTCAAAGGTAGTTTATCAAGTATAATAAAGAAAGATGGTATCATATGTGGTGGAAGATGAGATTGACAGTGTTGACGTAGTTGTTCTTCATTCATATGAGAAGAAGATTGAACATAAGCAACTAAATAATCATTATTCCATTTCACAACAACACAGGCAGAAATAGATGTAATGCTAAGTAAACATCGTTCAATTTCCCCAAGTTCAATTCTTTGTCCATGAAGTTTGATTTGATGATCTTTTCTTCCTTGATAATAAAGAAGACCATGGTTATCCATTGTAACATGATCACCTGTTCGATAAAATAGTTGACCATCTATTTCAACAAGGGCTTTTGCAGTTAAATCATCACGTCTAAGATAACCAGCAAAGACACCGACTCCTCCTATAAACAATTCTCCTTCTTGAGCTGTGGTAGATGATTGTAAGTATTGATTTATAATAATGCATCGATAATTAGAAAGCGGTCTACCGATGGAGACGTTACGTACATCAGTTGTAACATGTATTCTATGAAAGGTAGAAACTACAGTGGCTTCTGCTGGACCATATAAGTTCCATACTCTACAGGAATGCGAGACTGAACTTACAATTAAGTGTACGAGATTGACAGAACATATTTCACCTATAAAAATGTAGAAAAACTTGGCATAAAATTACTATCAGGCAAAATTTACATACCACCGCTGCAAAGGGATCGTAGACTTTTGACAGCTGTAAGCTGATTAGATTTTTGCAAAAAACTAAACAAATGTTGAAGAATAGTTGGCACAGTTGTGAAGTATGTAACATTCTTCGACTTGACAACGTCAATTAGATAGTCAAAGTTGATGGTTCCTCCAAGATGTGGCATTACTAATGAAGCTCCTGTTATCAATGTGCCAATAATATCTTGAATATGAAGATCA